AAAGTGCGGTAATCGTGGCAAATTTGACCCTCCGGGGTTTTTACAAATCTCCGACAGAAAAAGATTCCTGGATTTGCGTATGTTGGAGGGAACCACTTATAAGGAGCGGTGGTTAAATAAACACCTTTTCAATGAGAACCGAAGAAAAGTGAGGACCGATTTTTGATCCCCACTTTATATCAAAAAAGACATTCGGAACTAATTTCTACGAGTCTAACAGCTGGGACAGATCTTCAATAAATGAAAAAATAAATAAATAAAAATAGGAAAATATAATTTCGTGTTTGTCTCTATCGCCAGGGAGAAAGGCGATTTATAGGAAATTTTGTTAGCGTTATTAGGCTAAACGGGATTTAATAGGAACACTTCGACACGATAATGCATTTCTCATATACGAAGGATGTAAATTTAATAAGTACAACATCTAAATTAAATTATAAAATGATTGGGATACGAAATAATTGAACGAATAAACAATCCAAACAATTTCTTTTGTAAAATAATAATAATTTGGCCAATTGTTGGAAATCCGCATCTAAAAATGGCAGAAGAAATAAATCTTTTTCACGTCAAATGTCCGATTTGTCTGGATGTTTACGTCGACCCGATTACCCTGTCTTGCGGTCATATCTACTGCAAGTCCTGTATCGAGAGTACAAGAAAAATCTGGAAAAACTGTCCGATGTGCCGAACTCCGATAGGCAAAATTAAAAAGAGAGACGATCGGGTCAAGGAGGTGAAGAACATCATGGCCACACATTACGCCATCTGTCATTCGTGTGGGGAAACGACTCTCTTATCCAGACTACGTGAACACAGGACAGCGTGCGAAAAGACTGCCAGAATTTTCAACAAGAGAACACCCACTGGTGCGAAAATCATTCGATGTGGATTGTGCCAAAAGAGAATCGCGCCGAACGGACTGTTAAAGCGCCTGAATAACAAGAAGAGACGTAGACATTCGTTGATCTGTCCGACGTGCGCTTTAAAAAAATGCGACTAAATCGAGATCGTCGCATCGTTTAAAATAGACAAAGCGAACAAAATTTTCAATGTATAATTTTGAATACAACGCTTCGTTAGGCGAATCAAAATGAAAAATTCCTGAATTTTGAATCATTAAAATTTGATTTTATTATTTACAAATAGTTTCTTTATTTACAGCGAAAAAAAGTACACGCGCTACTCGTATTTACATCCTTTGTATATCTGTTCGTAATAACAACTTTTTATGTTTTAGACGGGCAATTATTTATCGTGACGTGGTCACGATGTCGGTCCGTAATTTTTTTCATCGTATTTTTAATTTATTTAATTTAAGTTAGGCAACGCAACACTTGGGGACGATCTGCCTAGGGGGAATGCCTTCCGGGAGGTGTTTTTAAGGGTAACTGGCCCCTATTCAAGCGTTACAGACGTGGAGAAAACCCGGAAAACTCCACGTGGCCATGGCCCGACCGGTGGTTAAGCGTTGTCCGTACCCCGAACGCTGGGTACGGAGACTGCTTGGGTTTCCGCCTCGCACGGACGGGCTGGTCACGTGCTGAATAGGTGCCAGTTATGACCATTCCATCTATAAGGCCGGCAAATCGGACGCATGCGTTCATATTCTCATTCTCTCGGAGTATATAGCCTATATGAGTTGTACATAGCGTTGCCACCTGTCCGGGTTTGACCCGGAAACTCCGGGATTGAGTGAGTTATCTCCGGGCTCCGGGGTTAATTAATATTTCTCCGGGTTGTGCAAATTGAAATGAATATGTACAAAATTATATGCAAACCGTCGCATATATTTTTTCTCCCGTGTACCGAATTACTAGTGTGGTAGTCGTAGACTTAAAGACAGTAGCGTAGCGTAGGGGGCGGCAGGGGAGTCCGATTGAAATGAGCACAGAATAGTGTTACCATCCGACTCGCCGTCCGGGAATATCGTGCGTAACCTGCCGACCTTTTTATTTTTTATTTTTTTGCTTGTACTGTTCATTCGTAATCATATGCACCTCCAATATCCAATAGAGCTAGGTCACTTGCGTTACTCCAATCCAAGTCTCCCTAGTCGCTAACTGTAACTGATTTAAAACCAGCATGCACTGCAAATTAATCTTCGCATTGCAAAATGATACACGCATGCGTCAGGAACTTCTGTTCGAACAAACCTCACCTGCCGTCCGGGTCAGCGATTTTAAAAAGGTGGCAAC